TATATAAATTTATCACAAAAGTTTAATAAAAAATATTATTATTTCAATACTAATCAATTTTGATTAAAATTAATCAAGCCCGATTAAAATTAATCAGACCTAAACCAGTGTTTTGAAAACCGACCCGGAGGTCAACCCGTTTTGACCTCCGGGTCCCGGTTTGACCGGTTTAACCGGTTAACCCGTGAAACCCGCCGGTTCAATCAAATATCCATAAAGATAATGTTGTGCAGCACTTCACACCAATCTTGCACTGGTTCCATTGGTCTGCAGTCTGGTTCCTCTCTAGGAGGAACGAGATTCGAGCCCAAGTGATTGCAAAATTTAATCAAGATGTCTCTACCCTCAACTCATAATATATTAAATATAATTTTTATAATTAATTTATACAAAAAACTGTAAAAATTGATTTTAAATTAATTAATTAAAATTATCTACATAAATGTTAATTTTTATAATTTTTTTATCTAAATTAATTATAGATAAATGTTAAAAATTTATATTATTATATTTTTTATCTATAATATATTAATGAGTTTTTCTTACTAACTTATATAAAAAATTATAAAAATTAATTTTAAATTAATTAATTAATCAATTAAAATTATTTGTGTTAATAGTGTTAAAATAAATATTAATTTTTATAATTTTTTATATAAATTATTATAAAAATTACATTTATTACACTTGAATTTATATGTTTAAAATATAAATTAAATAAATTTTATATTAATTTTAATATAAAAATCAAGAATACTCATTTTTACATAAGAATTCAATACTTGGATTCCTTAAACGAAAATTTCAATTATTTTCTTCTTCCAATAAATGAACTAAAATTTTAAGCAAACGAAATCAATTCTGAAGCTCAAGTGCCAAAAGTTATGAAAAGGTTACTTGATGTCAGGTGTTCAAACCTTGGAGGTGACAAATTTAAGTTTGGAAGTTTGACCCGCCGTGGAAGGAAAGAAAAAAAAAAAAAGGAGGGAAGTTGCGGTGTGGTGCAGTTCGCCCGGCGGGTTTACCGGGTCTGCCGGGCGGGACGGGTCAACCGGGTTTAACGGTTCTGGACGGTCCGATCGTCCAAACGGGTTTAGACATTCATCCGACCCGTTTCAGCAACCGGGTGACGGTTGGACCGGTTCAACCGGCCGGTCCGGTCCGGTTTTAAAAACAGTGACCTAAACTAATCTTAAGTTTTATTGAGTTTCACATGTTTTATAGTGCAAAAATTTATGTTCTTAAATATTTTTTATCGATGTGAGATATATTTATAGTGCAAAACTTTATTCTCTTATATGTTTTTTATCGATGTGGGATGTATTGATTAGAGAAAATTGATCATTTTTAATGACGAAATATATTTTTTAGTGATGAATTATTTGGTCATCATTGAATGTGTAAGGTATACGTGACCAATATTAAAATTTTGTTATAATTATAATGCATTATAGTGATGATTGTTATCGAAAAAAACTTATTTTATCTCTATGAATATTTTTTGGTGACGAAATATATTTTTTATGATGAATTTTTTTATTCATCATAAAATATGTATGCATATGTGACTAATTTTTTAGATTTGTTACAATTATGATAAGTTATAGTGATGATTTCAAAATTTATCATAAATTTCTGTCATTAAAAATCATTTTTCTTGTAGTGTCTTGAACATATTATAATTATTTACAAATTAATTAAAGATGGGAAAAAGGTTTCTATGAGATAAGCTGCAAGGGCTTTTATTGGATAGGTGGCTTGCTTATTGTCGTATGCCTTTTTGTTTTTTTTATCAACTT